TAGTTATATTTATTTTAAATAAAATAAATATATTATGCTTTGATTTATACAGATGAGTTACTTTCATCAAATAAAACCATTCATTCTACATCTTACTAGTTGGAAACAGCATGGTACGAATATACATAAATGTAAAAGTATAAGCAAAAATGTGTTTAAAACATTTTGTACCTCTAAATGGTTGCAAATTGAAGAAAATGTTCCTAAACCATTGCGCAATATGAAGCCAAAGTCAGAAGGAAATACAAAAAAACAATTTCTTGATATGAAGCAAGTATGAAATTAATAACTTAGATTCAATATGGTGTTTATTTAAAGGGTAACTCATATACATATTTAGATAAAAACTGTTGGAGGTAAAGGTGGCGATGGAGCAATATCATTTGCACATTTATGGTCTAATGACTGTGCTGGACCTGATGGAGGAGATGGTGGGCATGGTGGTCATGTAATTTTTCAGGTATGAAACTGACGTTTTGAAATATAAGTTATATTGATTTGAAAAAAAAAATTTTGCAGGCACAAGAAAATATCAAAGATTTTTCGCATTTAGACAGTGTTCTTACAGCCAAAGAAGGAGAAAATGGTCAAGGTAGAGATTGTTTTGGAAAAAATGCTAAACATACCATAGTAGAGGTTCCCATAGGTACTATAATACGAAACACCAAAGGAAAAATTATAGGTGATTTAAATAGCAAAGGATCAATGTTTATTGCCGCACGAGGTGGTGCTGGTGGTCATGGGAATACATACTTTAAATCTGATGTACACCAAGCACCAACCATATCTGAATATGGTGCACAAGGAGAAAACTTACAGTATATGTTAGAACTTAGAAGTATGGCACATATTGGATTGGTATGTATAGACTATCTTTTAATATTCATATTTAGTAGTGTGGTATTTACATTTTAATAAAAAGATTATGTCTAAAAACTACATATTTTGAAAATACATTTTAGATTGGACTTCCCAATGCTGGTAAGAGTACTTTATTACGAGCCATAACTAGAGCCAGACCTAAGGTAGCTGCATACCCATTCACTACTTTGAGACCACATTTAGGAATGATATTATATGATGATTATGAACAAATTGCAGGTTAATAATATAAAAATTTAAGATTATTCCTTACTTTGCCATAATTCCTATATTATATTTCAATTTTTAAGTGGCTGACTTACCAGGACTTATATCTGATTCCCATAAAAATAGAGGTCTCGGTATACAATTCCTTAAACATATTGAACGTTGCAAAACATTATTATTTATTCTTGACGTAACATGTGATAAACCCTGGATAGATTTTGAAACCTTAAAATATGAAATTTCACAGTTTAATGTGAAGTTAAATGAAAGATCGATTCTTATTGCTGCAAATAAGATAGATTTACCAAAAGCGAAGGTAAGATACATAATTTTAAATTTTAAAGAATAAGATGATATTTAAGGTATATCGTTTATTAATACAGGAAAATTTTGAAATACTTACAAAAAAAGTTAATTTACCAATTATACCAATTTCTGCTAAAATGGGTACAAATATATCTACTTTGTTAAAAGAAATAAGAATCTTATACAATGCACAGAGAGAAGAAGAGGAAAACATGTTGG